GCCTTCCTGCAGGCGGCCCTCCCCGCGCTCCACTGCCCCAGCTCCCTCTGCCTAAATGCCGGCGGTGACCGGGGCGGCCGAAGATCCGGCCGCCGCGGTCACTGCCGAAGAAAATGGCGCCCCCCCAAATCCTAGTGCCCTAGGCGACCGCCTAGGTTGCCTAAATGGTTGCACCGGCCCTGTAGACGGAGTATGCACCGAAGAAGTTATGGGGAAGATGAACTTGGGCTTCGGTGACCGATAGACCAGAGAGCACATGTTCGAGGTGGTCTGGACATAAAATAAGTATGGGAGAAGAACGATCAGCAAAGAAAGCATTGATGGAAGAGGATAGGACGTAAGGATGTGGAAGACAGAGGACATAATGGAAAGACTGTCAAGAGAAATCTGAAGAGAAAAGGACTGGAACTCCAAGACTTACAAACCCATGCCATGGACCAGATGGAGTGGTGAAGATTCACGGCCATCTCCAACCCCGTGTAAGTGGGAAAAGGAGTCGTGAAGTGGGACTTCAGCTTGGTCTAAACTTAGTTTTACCAACATAACTATGCCTGTTAGGAGTGTTTTTTTGTTTTTGTTTTTTAAGAAACATATCTATTATTGCCAACCTACTTATGCCAGTAAAAGCCCTGGCATAGATAGAATAATATCAGCATAGTTTTTTGCTTCCCTGAACTGGCAAAGTTAACGCAACAAAACTTTTAAGTGTAGACAAGGGCTAAGAAACATGGTAACATCACTCGTCTCGGGGTACGGCTACGCTGCAGTCAGAGGTGTGGTTGCACTTTAGGTAGGCACACTCATGCTAGCTTTAGTCTAGCTAGCATAGCGAAGACCCTGTGGCAGGACCCTGGTGCAGGCTAGCAACATGAGTACATACCTAGGGTTCACAGAGGGCTTATACAGGCCATGCTCAAAGCTGTGCAGTGCATCTTCCCTGCTATTTATAACGGAAGTAGCTAGATTAAAGCAAGTGCAGTTATGTCTACATGAGCTGCAATCACACCTCTGATTGCAGTGTAGCCTTACCCTAGGTTAGTGGGAAAGTAACCCCAGTGGGAGCTTGTTGACTTTAGCATCCAAAGAGGAAAGATGGTCTTAGTGGGAAGGCCATTCTGGCAATCTGGATTTAATTCTCAGCCTTGCTACAGACACCCCATGTGATTTGTTTTCTGGGCAAGTCACTTAATCGCTCACTGCCTCAGTTTCCTGCCTGTGAAAAGGCAATATGATCCCATTCTCTGTCTTAGATTGTATGCAATTTGGAGCAGGGAATATTTTACTATGTGTCTAGGCAGTATCTAGCCCAATGGGGCCCTGATCTTAGCTGGGGGTCTTTGGGCACTACTAGAATACAAATAGAGTAGTAGGTAGGTTTAATTTTATTGGGTATGTCATGGAGAGAAGTATCTGATCCATATTAGGGTGGGCACAAGCTAAATGAATATTAAAGGAGATATGTCCCCATCTCCGTTTGTAAAGAGTAGGAAAAGCTTCCCAGCATGGAAGTACTGCTGTTCGCTAGTGACTAGTTTTGGGGGAACACTTATGCTATATATGCAGACTGTAAATCAGTTTCCATCCTAATTAACTGTCTTAGCACCAGGACTGGACTAAAATGAGAGGAGCCAATGATCCAAGAGCTACTCAAGCTCCATCCTGCTTGATGCCTCGGTCATCTTTTGTTGTTGTTTATCTCTCTGAGTCTTGGCTTCTCCCTGGGTGGGCTACATGTTAAACCAGCGGCTCTGAACCTTTCCAGACTACTGTACTCCTTTCTGATTTGTCTGGTGTACCCCCAAGTGTCACCTCCCTTAAACTATTGCTTACAAAAATCAGACATAAAAATACAAAAGTGTCACAGCAGGCTAGTACTGAAAAATTGCTGACTTTCTCATTTTTACCATATAATTATAAAATAAATCAATTGGAATATAAAAATTGGACTTGCATTTCAGTCTATAGTATATTGAGCAGTATAAACTAGTCATTGTCTGTATGAAATTTTAGTTTGTACTGACTTCGCTAGTGCTTTTTACGTAGCCTGTTGTAAAACAAGGCAAATATCTAGATGCGTTGATGTACCCCCTGGAACACCTCTGCGAACCCCCAGGGGTACACTGCTTGAGAACCCCATTATGTTAAACTATAAATGTGACACAGAGCGGGCTCAACTACAAAGTGATCTCTAACTTTGGCTGCCTGTTCAGGTACCTGCGGCCTGATTTCCTGAGACCACTCAAATAGCCACGTCCAAACCCTTCGCAAGTTTGGGCCTGCCTGACCGTAGAAACAATAATGCTTAAATCCATACTGCTAGAGAACCAGGGGTCTTAAGAGCTTAAAACAGTTTTAAAATTTTAAGTAAGCCTCAAACCTGCATGTGAGGCTGGTGAATATATTAGCCACACCTTACAGATGGGGGAAACTGAGTCACAT